CTGTGTTGATAGTATACAGAAGGATTAGGGACATAACAGGAGAAGGAGGGAAACCCTTGTCTCTCTGGGGCCAGGTCCATGTGCTGGGTCCTTCATCCCTGCATGGATGTGATCTTGACTACAGTTGCCCTTTCTCAGACTCCTCCCTGTTCACAAATGTCCAGAGCTATGTATGCCCCTGGCAGCAAGCACTCCCCCTAAAACGCAGATGTTTTCATCATGGGGATGGAGGCCATTTCTCTTCTGGAAATAAACACCAGAAGAACCAGGGAGAGGCTGGGCTGAGGGTAGGAGAGTTGCATCCTCTTTGGAGGACGGAACAAACTCCCTTGACAAAGAGCACTGTCCTTTCAGTTCACATGGCTAAAGAGGAAAATAATTACACTCCTCTGCCGGGCTCACCTGGCCCTCTGCTGCTCACTTGGGATGGTTTGTTCCCGTTGGAGCATGCGATTGGAAAATAAAAGTGGAAAAAATCTTCTCCTCCATCACCCTCCCCCCGGGATTAATGCCTCGGCCATAAAGCGTTTACAAACTCTAAAGGAAGATAATAACTTTCCTTCTCACAGCGGCCCAGTCACAAGGAGGTAATGCATGTTTCCAATAAGCTGAAAATGTAACTCAAATAGTAGGTTTTATTTCACTTTAATCCGCCTGTGAGTTCACGTTAAAGGTAAGAGGAATCAGAGCCTTGCAATATGAACCTAGTTCATTAAAATCAGCATCTCCTCCTCGGGTTCAACTCCTCCCCCAGGTCTTGGCTAGATGAATGGGCTGAGGCAGCAGAGGGTGACAGAGATCCAAAGGTCATTGGATGGAGTAGGAGGCGGTTGTCCCAGCTTGCTCTGGTTTCTGGGCAGTCAAGTGAGGCTTGCTTGCTTCCCACACTTCACAGCTGATGGCAGCTTGGCAGTTACAGAAATGATTCTCCGTCTAGGTCCTCACGTCTACCAATCAGTCACTGTGAAGCCTGAATCTGGACCCCTCAACAAAGGCTTCCTTTATGTTTATGGAGTGACTGCTCCCTCGATGTCTTTCTGGTGCTCCCTCAGTGCCCTGTTGGTGCTCCCTCAGTGCCCTGTTGGTGCTCCCTCAGTTCCCTGCTGATGGTGCTCCCTCGGTGCCCTGATGGTGGTGCTCCCTCAGTGCCCTGATGATGGTGCTCCCTCAGTGCCCTGATTGTGCTCCCTCAGTGCTCTGATGATGGTGCTCCCTCAGTGCCCTGATTGTGCTCCCTCAGTTCCCTGCTGATGGTGCTCCCTCAGTTCCCTGCTGATGGTGCTCCCTCGGTGCCCTGATGATGGTGCTCCCTCAGTGCCCTGATAATGCTCCCTCGGTGCCCTGATGATGGTGCTCCCTCAGTGCCCTGATGGTGGTGCTCCCTCAGTGCCCTGATAATGCTCCCTCGGTGCCCTGATGATGGTGCTCCCTCAGTGCCCTGTTGGTGCTCCCTCAGTGCCCTGATGATGGTGCTCCCTCAGTGCCCTGATGATGGTGCTCCCTCAGTGCCCTGATGATGGTGCTCCCTCAGTGCCCTGATTGTGCTCCCTCAGTGCCCTGATGATGGTGCTCCCTCAGTGCCCTGTGACCTCTAGCAGGCTTGCCTCCTGGTGCCCTGTGGCCTCAAGCAGTACTGGTGTGTGTAGTCTGGCACAGCAAGGTGGACATTGCTGGTTCGTGCCTGGGAGGGGAGGGGGCAGAGAGAGGCCATTCGGTGGGTAACTGGCCTGGACTCGTCTAGTCAGCTGACTCCTGGCTGCCATTGCTCAAAGCTCTTCTGGGGTCTCCTCTATTGGAGGCCAGAAGTGCTGGTGAGAGAGAGCTATCTTTCCTTCACCATGACAGTCACCAGTCACCATACACAATTTCCCAACCCATGTTCCACTGCAGTTGGGGTACAAAGGAGGAAGACAAAGGAAACGCTGCCATGTTCTGATGACTGAGGCAGGAAAGGGACCAGCAACCGTGTCCCCCTGCCAGACTCTGAGGCCTCCCTGACCTCATGGCTGCTTAGCTTCTTCCACTGGGCCTCCGACCGCTGGTGTCTGCTTTGTGAGCTTTGCCTCAGACCGTTATCACTGGCGACCTAGCATCCTCTGTGGCCTCATCCTGCCACTGGGAGTGCAGCGTTCAACGGCCTTGAGTGGATGTAGAGTCAGCTTGGGAAGCCTCTCGAGGGCAGTGACGCTCAGGGCCTCAGCAGGCAGGGCAGGGGATGACTTTGGAATGTCCAGACATTGCCCCAGGAACTGAGTTCCACCTGACCATAAGTGATGCATCTACTTATGGCAGGTGTGTTTGCAGCGTATGTGTACCTGTAACTGAGCTCATGGGACCATAAATGCTCAACTTGTTCTGCTGAATTGGCCAATGCTAGCTGACCCTCCTGAACACCTACTGTGTGCCACCTTTTACTTCCACAGTGACTCTAATATAGGAGCCACGGGTCCAAAGACCATGGGCAGTAAGAGAGCAGCATGAATTGTGGCCCAGACATAAGCCAGGGTCTTGAAGTCAACCTACAAATTTCAAGTGATAGGAGAGCGGGTTGGGGCCTTGAATCTGATGGCTTGACTTCGTGTTTTCCAAGAGAAGTGGATTCTAGCAGGGTTTGCTTTCTTGGATGCGTGGCAGGAGGCAGGTGCGGCTGGGTACACTTGTGACGGAAGCACTTGGGAGGAGGCGGATGCAGGACAGAGAGTACAAGGTGACTCTGAGACTCACAGTGAGACTTTGTCTAAGAAAATAATAAAAGTTTAAAAGAAATAAGATGAGAGAGAGGAGGAGGAAGAAACGTTCCCGGGGAGACTTTGTGAAACAAGCCAGATGTTTCCTGGCTCTTCCTCTTCCTGTGTCTGGCCTGTCATCTTCTAGTCTACTTTTCAGTGTGAGGACCTCACAGACACTTCACCCACAATACGCCAACCACACTGTCCCCCATGGAGGAAGTGTGCTTCTCTACATCATGGCCCCTCAGCAGGGGTGGGTGCGAGCCTTCCTGGAGGGGAGAGGATGGAGCCAGGTGTCAGCAGCTGTAGCCTGTTCTTTGGAGGTGCAAGGAGCTGCAGCCATAGACTCCGGTGCCTTCAGCTTTGGGTGGCCATGCCCTGTCTCTGGGAGTGACTTCTTAGGCTCTGTCTGTGGACAGCTGCTCTGTAATGCACAGACAGGGCAGCCATGAGTCTTTCTGGGACCTGTGCCTCCTTTAGAAGGGGGGGGGGCGGCTTCAAAGCAATCCTGAGCAGTGGACTGCATCAGCCAGAACTGCAGGCCTCTTCTTCAGGGCCAACAGCATCTCTTGTTCTACAAACCTAGATCTTCTGCTACAAACGCAGCTGAAAGCCTCCCCCTCACTCCAGGCACCGAACTAAAGCAAATCCCTTAGATAATCGCAGAGCCCTTGAGCTATGGAGCCAGCTCACTAGGGCTCACGTCACCCCAAGTCTCATGTCTGTGACGAGCCTTCAGATTTGTTTCCCTGTCTTGGTCTCAGAATGGCTGGCTTTCTTGAGTGGCTTCTGTGAGCCAGGCATGGCTCTAAGCATTTTCCATGGCCTGCCTCCTAAGACCCTCTCCCCTGTTCTGGCAGGTAGGCATGCTTATCTTCCTGGCTGTCCAGAGGGAGAAATAGAAGACAAATCAGGCTAAGTCACTTGCCCAGGTCACTCAGCTCACAAATGGAATGGCCCTGGCTAGGGAGTTGACCTTCTGAGTCTCACCTTCTTTACCTGAGTGTGAGATCAGTGTTTATCTGGGGAACTGTGAGGGTTAGGTAGTGACAGCTCGCTGGGTGCTCAAGGCTTATTACACTTGCGTAGCAGAGGGATGAACATATAATATTAACTTCAAATCTACCTAATGATAGGGTAAATCTCAAACCCAACCAGAGAGAAGATACAATCCCAACAGCTGTGATAAAATAATTATGTCATTTGTTTCCGAATGCTTATCTCTCCTGAGGCCCAGCAAGCTGCAGGAAGGCAGATTTTATTGGTTTTGTTTTTTTCCAGGACCCTGAGACGGGATATACATTTGCCATGAGGTGGGTGTTTGGTTCAAGTTCATCGAAATGGGGGAGGGGCGGATTCGAGAGTCTTGGGGGCCAGCATCCTTCCACGTGGGCCGTGCTCTCCTCCATCTTGTGTCTGTGAACTGAGGGTACTCAACTCCTATTTTTCTGGAGGAGGGACTTCCGAAGCATAGGTGTGAGTCGGTCTTGTCCAGTGTTGTTTCCCCTATGGGGAAGGTGCTTGGGGCCGGGAGCAGAGCTGAGCTTCCTATAGTCTACCTTGGGCACAAAGGGGTAGGGAATAAATGGTACAGGACAGAGGTGTCACAGATGCTGGAGTTGTGAGTCAGGCTGTGGGCGGCAGGGTGTGTTGGGCGCCCCGCCCGAATGCAGGGTTTGGGCTGATGGTGGTTACCTGAGTTTGTAGGACTGCCCTGCCCTCACATGGGTAAGCAGTACTTCTCACTGGCAGCGGCTAGCCATGTGCTTTCCTCTCACTGAGGAAATTCTCCATCCTTGCCTGCCTGGCTCCTTACCAACCCAACCCCATGCCCACAGGGAACATAAGCCCTGGCAGGCATCTGACTTGCTCTAAATGGGGTAACTTGGGTTGACCTCTGACACATGCCCTCCAGCCATGGAATTAGCTCTGCAAGAGCACACTTTCCTCCAGGCAACCATCTTTCCCTGAAGACCTTTGCCCTCTGGTCCAGAAGCGACAGAGAATGGGAGGAGAGGGAAGAAAAGGCGGAAGAGGAAGAAGGGAGCAGAGGGGAGGGGAAGGAGGAGAAGAAATAGCTGAGCAGTCCTAGCCTCTAGGTGCCCCCGCCCGGAAGGCTTGAGCTCTGCTTTCAACCTTGGAAGAAACGTACCTGCCTTCCCAATTTCCTCTCACACCTCTTCCAGGTTCCCGCCCCAAGCTCCCTCCATATGACACCATGGTGCACATGTGGCCCATGTGGGACTCAGTAATCCTACTGGGTATGGCAGCTTCATGAAATACTTCCTGCTTATTAAACACAGGCTTTCCTAAGTCCCGGGTGCCTGTGGGCATTTGAAAGCTGAAGGTGACCCTGAGCTACCACAAAGGTGACTTCTCTACCCTTGCATCCCCGATGCAACGCTAGCCATGTGTCTGCTCTTAAGCAGCATGTGGAATGAGCAACGTAAGTAACTCCGAGCCCAACAAGGAAGGAAATGGGCGGCAGGGGTGGGTTATGCTGGGTGAGGCTCCCCAGATACCCTCGGGGCCTCTGGAAGAATATGAAGTTCCCATTACCCAGAGCCATGGAGGACACGCCTCCGTCCCTGGGCTGCTCACAGTTTACAGAATCAGTTCCCCGTGAGTGGGGTGGCCAGTGGGCCTTGAATGTCAGCTTTGTGTTCAACCTCTCATGATGCTCAAATATTTCAAGCCCTGTTTTAGCAAGGCTCGCTCTCAGCCAGCAGGGTCGGCAGGGTACACTGTCTGGGGACTCCCTCTGGAGCTTTATTTCTGTTGCTCCTCCAGAGCTTGGCTGGAAACAGCTGTCTGGGTCTGGGAGGAGCCCGGGAGAGACCCCAAGAGATCATGAGTTGCCTCCCCCAAAACAGGAGAAGTCTCTTTCTTAACAATGTTTTCCCATTCGTCAGTCTCCTGGGCCTTGGGTCTGTAAATCAGGGGTGAGGAGCTGAAATGGAAGTAACAGACGAAGGCTTCAAGGGAGGCACCCCCCTCTCTGTGGACAACCATCTGGATGCCAGAGAAAGAGATTCTGCTGACAATGCTGAGGGGGACCTGCTCCAGGTACCTCAGTGGCAGCCCGTTGACCCACACACAGCTCTTGCGGGACAGCACCTTGAGGCAGAAGGCTAGCAGAGAGCTGCCTTTCTCCAGGTAGGGCTCCAAGGATAGATGGTGTCGGGACAGCTGGGTCAGCTGTAGCTGGATGTGGGTGTCCTGCCCTCGCCCCACCAGCAGCCGACTGGTATCGTGCCGCAGCTGCGGTGGGACTTTGGCAAAGGCGACTTGGCCCAGGGTGGGATGGTACAGGCTCACCTGCAGGACTGTGAGGGCACTCTCCATAGATGAGATCCTGGGAAAATGCGACAAAAAGACAGACACACACACACACACAACCCTGAGGTTTTCTGCGCCCAGAGAAGCATGCCTGTCATTCTGCTTGCCTGAAGATCAGAATGGAGAGCCAAGCCACTAGTTAGTCACGCGCCCACAAGGCTGGTTAGCCACAGAGGAGAGGCAGCGGTGGCCGCGCCTTTAATCCCAGCACTAGAGAGGAATATAGGGCCATCTGAAGTTTGATGGAGAGCAGTGCAGTCTGCAGTGCAGTCTGCAGTCCCTCTGAGGACAGGGTCACCCCACCTTTGATCTGAGCCCTGGTAGAGGTAAGAATTCACCAGTGGCCTGGCTGCTTCTCTTTTCTGATCTTCAGTTTGAACCCGGCTATCTGTTTCTGGGTTTTTGTTATTTGTGCTGCGGCGGAGGCTGACATTACCTTTGAAACCCGTCTCTTCACTCTGCAGCAGGACCCATTACCCGTTCTCCCAGAGTTGAACTATTTTGTAATAAAGATGTGCCCGTTCTTCGAAGCAAGGGATAACTCTTACCAGCTTACAGAGCAGAGCCTGATGGTCTGCAGGCCATTTGGAGACAGTCTGTCTCTACAGGAACAGGAATGCTGACTCCAGAGGCTTTCTTGTATCTGGCAGGCACCAACAAACCCTTGCAGAGCCCTCCTTTGAGCTAGGTGTCAATCCGGGTGCTGTGGTGGTAAAGCAGAGGGAGTCAGGCCTTCACTCTTGGTGTTTAGGGTGTTTCCAGATGTGGAGGTATAGAGCAACATGGAAGAGCCCTGCCTGCAGCAAGCACCTTCTTGGTGTTTCCACGGGCCAGGTACCATATCTCCTGAACATCTGGGCAGAAGGCAGATAGATCCTGGTGGGGACAGTGGGCATGGGGCGGGGCAAGCTGGCCCACTGCAGTGCCCGCAGGGACTCCAGGAAATGCACAGAATGTCCCACAGCTCCGCCTCCAGGAACTCATCCTGCTTCTGAGAGGCACACGCGGGACTGCAGTATCTGATGGGCACACACAGGAAGGCCGTACTGTGGGCTGCTTTGTTCCTGCCTGGCTTTGAAGAAGGTTCTGTCACATCCACACACCCACACAACCCAGGATTTGCCACTAATTTCAGCAGGGACCAAGGGCTGAGTGAGGCTCAGTAGTAATTTTCTGCTAGGAATGTTTGTTTGTAGTGACGTGTTATTTATGGCTCAATAAAGTTTGCCTGAGGGTTCAGGATGCAAAGCCAGCCACACTGGTTAGCTACAGAAGCTAGGCAGTGGTGATGCACAACTTTAACCCCAGGACTTGGGATTAAGAGGTAGACAGATCTCTGTTAGTTCAAGGTCACACTGACTACACGGAATTGATCCAGTCCTAAAAGAAACAGCTCACACAAAGGTGACCTCAGCACCTGGGATCACACGCCGCCTTTAATCCCAGCACTAGGGAGTTGAGACAGTAGGATATGGCTGGACAGAGAAAGAAATAGAAGGCCGGAGGAGAGAGGAACCAGAGCCGTTTACTTCTGAGGATTTGTGGAGACAGGATTGCCTTTTCAGCGGGGTAAAAGTAAGAGCTTGGCTGCTTTGCTTCTCTGATTTTCAGCTTGAAGCTTGAGCCCCAATATCAGTCTCTGGGTTTTTATTTTTCATGTTACATTTGTTGCATCCTAGACTGTGTGTAACAACGTTGCTCAGTTCAAATGCCTTCTTCTCTGAGGAAGGCGACCTTGTCTGTGCCCCCTACTGTCAGTCACTAGGGTACTTGGCCAACCCCCACCCCCCCCCACACACACACGTGTGCATTTCCACTCCCAGAGCTCTGCAGGCTCTTGTCTTTCTCAAGCTCCTCTCCTGTCTCTCAAGGGTCTCCCGGTGGCAGAGTGAGACCACCATGTAGTCCAGACAGCACTTGTCCACAGCAAGCATGGGGGGGGGGGGACACATCTTCCGGGAAACAGGTGAGGGGACATCACATGTAATGGGTGATACCCAATCAACTATAAATGGGGACTTAAAGCCTGTGGGGTAGGGAGCCTGTGCTAGATTGCCACCCTTTTACTATCATGGAAAAATAAGGATCGGGGAAAACAGGCTCAATAGATGTTTATTCGGGGAGAAATAACTTACAATAGAGACAGATGACCGCCAGCAGGTTCCCGTCCCAAGGATGCCTTGGGATGTTATCTGTCTCTGACCAGGAAGCAAGAGAGTGCTCTGGGGCCCCGGACCCCAGACCTAGTTGTCCCAGGTCACATCTGCACCTGTCCCCACCCTGTGGTCAGTGCAACAGGTGTGGGCAGGGTGAATCTCACCACATGTGACCCCGTTGCCTTTTGAATGTAGTATGTCAATGGGGATCAAGCTGACAGTGGGGCACAGGCACCTGAGGGTACTCATTCCCTTGCAGGCAGGCAGACACACTTCTTTCTGGCCACTGCCTTCTGACCCCGAAGAACAGTTCTGCACCCTGAGCCAGGGTGCAGGCTGAGCCCAGGGCTGAGGGCTGGGTACCAGTGCACTCAGGTCTGTAGAGAGTGAGCGTTCTCTCTGCAAGCATGGCTCTGTGACCCCCCCCCCCGTGCGTGTGTGTGTGTGTGTGTGTGTGTGTGTGTGTGCACGCAGGAACACTAGGCTGAAGCCCGCTCTCTGCCAAAGCAGCACATCTACAGAGGTTGACCTGTTTGTCTTGGATCGGGTGGATTTGGGAGAACAGAAACTCAGACTTCTTAATGCCCACCCTGGCTAACAAACAAAAAGATGCCGGCTCTGGCCAGGAATCCTCTTATCCCTGCCAGGCCTCCCTGTGGGTCCCAGTCCCATGGATCTCCACCTACCTTAGTGCCGGGGCACATCTCTGCAGCTGTGTGCTCTCTCTGCCGGGAAGGGTCTGGGCTGGGGCAAGGCCTGGGCGGGCTCCCAGAGTTCAGAAACCCTGAGTCACAGCACATGTCAGTTCTATCGCTCTTCCCTTTTTCCTCTGGGAAAGAAATGAAAGTGTAACTCTCCATTGCAGAAGTGGGACCTGCTGCCAGGGTTGTGAAACTGGTACCCTCTAGGAGGGTCATCTTGACAGTAGGGTTTCCTGGGCCTCACTGCTCCCAGCCTCTCCTGTTCCAACTCCCCCAGAGACCACAGACAACCTTTCTCTTCCCTCTGGGGGCAAGGACTGCTGGGCAGGGAGCTCCTAGATCGTGAGGTTCCTTTCCACTGGTAGGGGTTGGATAAGGAAGTCATAGGTAATGGCGAATCTCCAGGGTCTCTCGGGAGCAAGTGAGACACGGTAAGGGAGAACATGGCCACCCACGAGTAGCCTCTTTCAACACACAGAGAAGGTCATCTGTTAATTTAAAATAATATATAAGATGCTATATTCTTAATAAACTTGCTGGGTGTAAGCATATCTCATGCAAGACCTCCCGAGCCCACTTCCCTATCTTCTTTATTAGCGGATCCCCTGGTCTTTTCTCCCAGGACCCTGTCACTGAAGAATGGCCTACTGGTTCAGGTCAATGAAACAGTAATGATGACATTTTAAAATGGCCTTCAGCATATATATATATATACATACATATTTATGCATGCATTATTAAGGTCCATATAGGTGGGAGGGTTACATATAATTACAGTGTTGCAAATTCCTCCCAATTTTCCAGGACACAGGGACATGAACCGAAAGAGAACATAATAATCCAAGCGTGGTCTAATTTCATATATAATCAGGGAATAATGTCTCCATGACAGGCGATTAGGTGGAGAATGAAATAAAAAATTGCAATGAAGGCCTGTGTGTGCTTGGAAAGGGCAGCAGGACAAGAGGACATTAAAGTGGGTGGGACAAAGACAGCTCAATTCTGGCTTGCAGTTGGGTTGTGTAGGGTGAGAGAGGGGTCTCATGCATTGCTTTCCCTGAGCAGAGACTCGCTCAGCTCATCCCAGAGCTGCCTTCCAGACCCTCCATTACAGCAGCTCAGAGGCGAAGCTGTGCTTGCCCAAGGGAGCTCTGGAGGACCCCATGGCTGCTCCTGGGTCTTTCCTGCCTACCTCTAGAGTCGGTGCTGAAATAACTGACTCCAAGGCCTTGAACTGACTTCCAGGACCACACAGTGTATCTGCAGCACAGCCAGGTGAGGACCCAGGAGGACTGATCCCCAGGCTCCAAGCCCTGACCGCAGTACAATCCCTTGCTTCTGGGCCAAAGAGTCTCACTAGGGCATGCTTTAGGGACAGTCTTTTACATCTGGAAAGAGTGGGGTCCCTGCCCTGTCATCAGTGATTCGGGATAAGTGGGAAGGAGACAGGCTGCTTCTCAGAGCCACCGGATAGAAGGGGTTCTGACAGGTGCTGATGTGAGTACCTTCAGATGCCCTTTCTGCAGTTCAGATGCCCTTTCTGCAGCCCCAACTTCCTTGCCCTAGGTCCTCCTGGCATTGAAAAGGAAGGAGCAAAACACTGATGTCACTGGGGAAATTCTCTCCTGACAATTCTTGGTGACTGGCTGGCTGACTCTTTGGGGAAACTTGGGTGGCAATAGTAACCCAAGAGTGGCACCAAGGATGTGGCAGGCATGCTAATTGCCTGGGGAGGGTGAGAAGCCATGTGTAGGTTGGTCCTCAGGCTTATTTCCAGGGCTGTGTTCCATTGGTGAAAACAGCTACCATTTTAGATGGATGAGTGGGTGAGTGGATGGATGGATGGATGGATGGATGGATGGATGGATGGGTGGGTGGGTGGGTGGGTGGGTGAGTGCAGCCACCATCTCTATGGATGGGTGGATGGATAGGTGGATGGATGGGTGGATGGATGACCAGAAGCTCAATAGTCCCAGGAATGTGCCTCGAGGGCTGCAGACACACAGTAGGGTGAGTCTGCTGGACCACAGGGCTCACATGCTGCAGTCTTTGCCTACACAGGTCTTGCAAGCCCGAAGACAACCAAAATCCTCTGTCCATGTGAAAGAGCCTCAGTCTACGAGTTCCCCATGTCTACCAGCCTTCTAGTTTACATGACCCCTCAATTATGCTCAGATGCGCTTCTCTATCTGCGGCCTGGTATGGGTCTTTGCTCACTCCTGAGTTTCTTCTCTGGAGACCCCCCCGAGCTATATCAGTCCTCAACAAGGATGTGGGCATGAGACAGTTTAGAGCCCCTGCATGGTAGAAACTAGGCTAAGCTCACTTCCCATCATAAAAGGGAAGTGAGACACCCAGGGCATTCATCTGGCAACAGGAACTTCTGCCCAAGTTCCATCTTCTGGACATACTGGAAACTCTCTGGATGTCTGTATAGAGACCATTCTTACTATCCACTTTCTAGATGAAAGGCAGGCCGCAAAGTGAGCAAGAAATGGAGGCACAGCCTTCTGTCCTCACAAGGAAGCTTCCCTCTGGCTGGCCCTGACTTACCTACAATGCCCCTGACTGTTGGGCATCTGGCATTGGACTCTAAGGACTGTTGTTTGAGTGAGATGTGTCTGAATCACGAGACACTTGGAGAGCCCAGAAACAAAGCAACCTTAACCGCTTCCCAGACCTTCCCCTCAGGCTTCCATGCCCAGGCTCTCTTGTGTCTGAGACTTGCTCATTTGTGACCTCAAGTCGGGCATCCTGTCTGGACCTCAATTTTCTGCTCTGTCAGGCATGGGTAAAATTGACTGCAGCTGGGAGGGCTAAAATGTGTGGAAAGTGCCAGGTACAGTGAGATCTGCTAACTCAGCCTTAGCAAAACCTTTGGCTGAAGACACAGAATATAACCCGAGAAAAAGGGCTGTCAGGAGAGACTGACACGTGCCAACCTTACATTCTCAAAAAGCTCCCACTTGGGGTTAGAACAGGATAGTTTGGAGTTAAATGCCCACCCCGTGGGAGCTTCCCGTGAGTTCCCTTTTAATCATAATGAGGTAAATGCAGGTTGCCAGGAAGTCTCTGCCTCCTTGCTGCTACCCATCTTATAGACGTGGAAGCTGAGGCTGGAGCAGTCAGGTGACTTGCTCAGGCATCAGATGGCACGAAAGCTTGGTCTATGAGGCTTCTAGACCTTACCAAGCTGCTACTTGCACTCAAGTATTCTCTGGGATTCAGATGCTGGCCAGTTAGCCACTGAGCTAAGGATGCCTGGTTCCAGCTTGCCTGACTACTTGGATGCCCTGGGTGGGTCATGTATTGAGGACCCGAAGCAGCACCCTTAACCAGTGACGTGCTTTT